AGGTTTGTTAGTTCTTTCAACATGAGGTGAGGGTGTTTTTGTGAGCTTAGCCTGTACGCATACTTCACATTTTTGTTTACTTGTTTTACATTTTGGGATTAGATTTAGATTCATTAATCTTTGTATCGATTTGTAGTTCACATGGCCTAATCTTTCATGCCAAATATTAAAAGACTCAACCAAATAAGCAACTGGCTCTCTCTTATTCATTGAAACTTTTGGAGCTACAACTTTTGGAATGACTGTCATTACATTCATTTTGACCAGTCCATCCTTAACATACCCCTTTCCCAAATACACCCCATTCTTCCTAATCACTAGCTTGTCCGCCTCAAGAGATGTGACGAATCCATTCTTGCTGAGCAAGGTTCCCGAAACCAAGTTCTTCCTCATGTCAAGCACATGCTTCACATTCTGCAGAGTGACTTCACGTCCAGATGTCATCTTCAGAACCACCTTGCCGCGGCCTTCAATCTTGGAGACTGCTTTATTCCCCATGAACAGCTTCTCCTGAGTCTTGCTTTTCTGATAAGTGCTGAACATCACCCTATCAGTGCAAATGTGGGTGGTGGCACCAGTATCATACCACCAATCTTTGGGATTGTTGTTTTCAACCATGTTGACTTCAGTCACCACTGCAACGAGATCTTCCTCCGTGAGATTCACCTGGGCCTTCTCATCTCTGATCTTGCTGCGACACTCAGCAGTCATTGTTTTCATTGCCTTTGCCTTTCTTCTTGAAGTTTGGTCCAGAAACCTTCAAGTTTGCAGCTGTCTTGGAAGGCTTGGCAGGGGAGTTAGCAATTGCCTTTCCTTTACCTTTCGTTTCAGCCACATTAACACTGTGCTCTTTAGCTTCGAGCTTGTCATTCTTTCGGTTTCTGGCTTCCATCTGAAGCCTCTGAATGAGATCCTCAAGTCCCATCTTCTTCTTTTTGTGCTTCAGGTAATTCTTGAATTCAGCATAGCTTGGAGGAAGCTTTTGGATGAGGCTGAGGGTTATGAATGTCTCATCTATGGATATCCCCTCAGCAGCAATTTCATAGCAAATGAGCTGATACACTTCCACCTGATCCATGATGGGTTTTGAATCCACCATTTTGAAGTCATGGAATTTTGCAACTACATACTTATGGCAGCCAGCGTCTTCACCTCTATACTTCTTGTCCAGCGATTTCCAGAGCTCTTTAGCCGTTGGAATCTCACAATAGACTTGGTACAATGGGTCAATGAGACGACCCAAAATGTAGCCTTTGCAGATGAAATCCGAATGCACCCAACTTTCAACACTTGAGAAGACGTGCATATCGTCAATTCCGTGAGGGATAATGGGCTTATCTTCCTCAATGAATTTGTCCAACTTGCACAAACTGAGGAAGAACATCATCTTCTTCTGCCACGTTTTGAAGCCTTTGCCATCAAATTTGTCTGGCATCATATTCTGAGAAATGACACCAGGAATAGCCGGAGGAGTCGCAACTGCAACCGGAACACTTGTGGATCCTTGAATTGGACCCGTTTGATAAAGACCAGCACCGAACAGGCTACGGCGTGTGGTCTCATCAGGAACAGCACCCACTGGAAGGGTTGCATCGGTTGATACAGCGTTCGTCACGCCGGTTGCAACAGGTGATGTCGCATTGAGTGGAGTCTGAGTGGCGAGATCAATGGGGGTGTTATCATCGTTCGTCATTTTTCTGTAAAGAAAATATGAAAACGGATCAGTACTCCATTCAACATATAACATATTATTTTAAATAAAATAATCGTTTAGAATCGATTTTCATTTTTGGTGTTTGAACCAAATCATATCGATACAAGTCTGGAAAAACGTTTTGCAAACTCGCTATAAGCGTTCGCAGAAACCGTTTAGTGAAGACTTAGAATATTTCACAAATTCACTTAAGAAAGCATCTGTGAAAACGATTCATATATAAACGTTTTGAAAGAAACAAGTATCTAAAACGTTTCGCGGATGATGCTATAAGCAAACCGCAAATCGTTTTGAGATAAATAAGAAACGTTTCGCGGAAATGATAAAAACCAAATCGCAAACAGCGTTTCGAAGACCGTTTCGCGGAAGTGCTATAGAGCAAATCGCAAACACGTATAGTATACAGATAATAAACGTTAAATGTTTAGCGGAAGTGCTATAGAGCAAATCGCAAACACGATTCCAGAACCCGTTTCTATACATCGCTTTTTTCAACCCGATTAAAGCTTTAGACAGAAAGCGATTAAGAGTTAAGATTGTAGAAGCCAGAAAACCGGATCGACATAGACGATATAAGAAAGAAAGAGTTAAGGAAAGAAACGATTATATGAGACACGGAGGCGAGATAAATCTCGTTCCTTAACTCTTAATATTCGCTCCGTAGTGAGACGAAACTGTACGAATATTGAGTCCCAGGATACAACCATGGCAGACGAATCACGCTTCACTCGTGAAACGACCTAACGAACTAAATTCTATGAACACTCTCTGAAAACTTACGCTGAGAGATTGCTGGATTTTTTCTGTTTTAAAAAACGATTAAGGAATGAAGAAGAGAAGCGAGGTTATTTAAAGAGAAAGACGAGAGCCACTTCCCGCAACAACTGCTGCACGCGGGCGAGAATCTCGCGGAAATCGAGGGAAGTTGAGTAGCGAAATCTTTTTCCGCAAGACTCTCTCTTTTCTCGATTAAATATCTGAGAGGATAAACTGCGTGACGTTTTTTTATTTGTTAGACAAACTACTTGTCGTTTTAAATAAAATTGCATGCTGTTTTTTGATAGTTTAAATATCTGAGAGGATAAACTGCGTGACGTTTTTTTATTTGTTAGACAAACTACTTGTCGTTTTAAATAAAATTGCATGCTGTTTTTTGATAGTTTACGTTTTTTTATTTGTTAGACAAACTACTTGTCGTTTTAAATAAAATTGCATGCTGTTTTTTGATAGTTTAAATGGTAAGGCTGAGCTTCATTTGGTCCAAAGCCCACGCCCACGCCGAGCCGAGTCGGCCGGACGGCGGCACGCGTGGAAGTCCTACTCTCTCTCCAAGCTGGTTACTAAGCTTAGATGTGTGAGCATATATATATTGCTCATTTCTTCTCCTTCTCCCCGATGTGGGATATAATTGAGATGTCAAGTTGACATTCAAACTTGTATGGACTTTGTGTAGCCCATTCATTTCTTTTCACATTTGATGTAATGCCAATGGGCTTTTTATTTTGATCCAACATTTTTGTCTCTCCTCAGCATGGTGCTGGCATTCTACTGGGGTGTTATGGTTACGTTTGTGCATGTTAAAGAAGTTGTTATCTTCCTCAACATTACGTATGCGATCTTCCTTTTTCTAATGCTTTTCAACCTTGGCCCTCACGTCTTCCTCCAAACACCTGGAATCCCTGCTTTCTTAGGTAGCTGCTTCTTGATGTTTGTAATGCTTGTGAATGAAGACAGTTTCACCACTCCTGCGAAGACGAAGAACTCAGGCAAGGAGGATTCCACTGCGAAGACCGAACCGGAAAAGCAAGAGATTATCTAAAAAGATTAAAGAATATCTTTATCTTTTACATTGTGTGTTCTTGTTTGTATGGTTTGATTTGCTCTCTCGTCTTCTTTACTTTATTTGTGTGCACCCTTACCTAAATAAATAAAGTGAGTGTGTTTTTTTACTTTTATTCAAATCTGGGAACCATTTTGTCGGGAATTTCATATACGTGTTACATAAGTTTTTTTTTTTTGGTAAGCACAGCACGTGTTAGATAAGTTATCTTTTTCATAGCAAAGTGTTTGACGAATAAGTCTCGAACTCTCTGAAACTTACAGCGACTAATTATTTCAGTTAACTCGATTTTTGTTCATCTACATGTATAATGTTTAAAATTTGACGTTAAGAAAATTCTTAAATTAAATTCTAAGCACATCCTACAGGCTACAGTAAGCAACTAAACCTACAAAAAAGTATATAGATACGAACCCTCAACTCCCAAACTAATTACTCAATACTCCTCTCCCAACACACACACACACACAAGAGCCCAGACAAAAAAAGCTTATAGCAACATCGCTTCAAAGAACATCACCTACCTCCTCGTATAAATTGTTTAAAACTACAATAATTTTGTTTCCACAACATTTAACTAAGTCATGCTCTAAGTGGTACACGATTTGAAGGAAAGAGTATGTGTCTGGATATTTTTTATTCCTCGCATAGTTTAATTAAAATACAAATAGATCACAGTGAACTTGTCCCGAATGTTATATAACCAACCTACATTAATCTTAACTATTTAACGAGAGAGATACAGAATAAAAGATACAGATATAAAGACGAGAAGGAGAAAAGACTTTACAGAGACTCTACCAAAAGTATATAACAAAAGTATGTTTCCATGTCGAGAGACGTTTCTTCTATGTAAAACAACTCCAGTGTCGTCCTGATGTAAATCTTCTCTTAAGCTGACTTCAATGCAAGAAACGAAATAATTAATCAAGAAGCTCATGTTATTGTTCCGGATTCTATTCTACTAAAAGACTACTAGGGACAGATTATGTATACCTGGAAATGACTTGGAAGTTTTTTTTTTTTAAGCAGAATCAGCTAGCTGCTCTTCTGTGAACTCACCAAAGATGTCGGGACAATCATCCCAAGTCCTGTCTCCTCGTGCTTCCCAGTAACCTCCTGTGTACTTGAAGGTTTCACTTTCCCTTTGTTTCTTGAACCATCTAGGTCTCCACCCGCTTTCTTGAAGTTGTCGTGACTGCAGTGAAACCAAGGAATGAGAGATCGTAAAACATGACTCCACTGAAAAATAATCTATTCAGGGCTTCAAAATGACAATTTCAAGTTCATGGACCAGTGCAATGTTAAGTTGGCGTACCATTCTTTGCCTTCTCTCTAACCGTTGTTTCTCTAAGTTTGCCTTTTCATATTCACCATTCTCGAGATGCCGTTGGTCTGGCCTGAGCCTAGAGTCTGTGGGAGGAAGCATCTCCTAAACCCATGATAAAAAATTACATAAGTCTACAGAAAAAGATTAGGCATAGTAGGTCTAGAAGAAACAGGAGACCATGTACAAGATTATATCAAGTGAACATACCTTCAAACCAGGTGTTAGCTCGTTCATGGTAATGGCGAATGAGGTTAAATTGTATCTAGTTACATTAGGAGGTGGTTTGGTTCTTCTCCACAGCAACGAGGCATTTGATGCAGGATCACTGACTTTAGTCTTGCTGACTCTATCACCAGCAACATAGTAAAGGCTATCATCCCATTTACCAAACACCGTTGCAGCTTTCTTGCCACACACGTCTTCTACATAACCATTTACCTACACAAAGTATATTTGATCATGTATTATATCAAAAGTATTACATATACAGAGAATATCACTGTGACTCACCTGGTGAGGATTCCTCTCAAGAATGGATTGCTCCTTAAACTTGAGAGTACAAGAATATTGGCGGTTCCCACGGATTTGCATCACACCATGATGATCACAGTAGAGTTTACCTAGTATGATATTGTATATAGTTGATGATACCTAAGAACAAAAAGATAAGTATAAAGTTACTTCATAGCAACCACAATCAACAAAAACTGACTTGTGTTTATAGATTAATATATACCTTGCTCCACTGAAATACTTCTCCATCATCAAACTCAAGGGTCAAAACTCCTACAGGCTCAACTTGAATAGATCTCCCCCAAAACTTTGACCTAAGGTTAGTGTCACCCCAAAACTTCCACCCTTTACCTTCACAGTGGCATGCTATAACTGTTGGATGGTGGCTGACCTATTACAAAAGAATCATACATAGCCCATAGTCTTGAGAAAGATTCCAACATTTATGTTCATCATATTCTAACTTTTGAGTTGAAATAAAAACCTTTTCAGAGAAGAAACGAATCCCCTTTTCAGGAAAGTCAGCTTCATAGGTTTCTCCAAGCAAAGGGTTGAATGGCTTACAGTGACGGCCTTCAGTGGAAGCATATCCAGAGACCGCAAAAGCAGCAACGTTTAAGGCTCTTAAGAGACCGTTCCCCTAATAAATCCAACATTCAAAAGTCAGTTTAAGATATAAGATAATGTAGTGTAGCAACATAAGTGCTTACAGATCTTCCATGTTCATATGCTCGGTCAAGAAGATAAGAGTACTCCAAGTCTTCAAAGCACTTTTGGAGGGATGATATTGGTTCATTGAAATAAACAGGGAGACAAACTCGGGTGAGATCTTTTCCAACGTTGTCTTTGATCATAGACCAAAGACTTACAGCTTTCTCTTTTTCAGCTGGGTCAGGAAGTTTTGTTCTTCTCTTGATATCAGTGTAACTCGATCCAGAACCAACATTAGGTTCACTAAAGTACTCCTTTGTGTCATGGAAGGAAGGCTCATCTTCCTCGGACACGTCCTCAAATTCTTGTTTGTCATCAGACGAAGCAGTTGTGCTGCATTCTAAAAACCAAATAATGTCAAGTAAACACACAAATGAAAACACTCAATGCGTTACACGACGGTCATAAGAATAAAATGGGACACTGAGAAGAGAGATTAAGCGATAGAGTATGTACCACTATATTTTCCACGTTCGAGGCTTGATAATTGGTAGACATTGTCATCGACCCCTGGTGCTCCAGCTTCAAGATTAGCTGCCTGTACAAAATAAAACTAGAGATCAAACAAACATACACACAAGAACAAGAACATAAAGGCAATAAACTAAGGTTACCTCCAGCTGCCTCACTGCGTCAAATAAATTGATCCGTTCTTCATGTAGAAGTTTGATTTGATCATGCATTTCAGAGAACTCTGAGAGCATGATCTGCTCGCACTCTTTTACAAGATTCTCGTGCACTCCCTCTTTTTGCAAACGTTTCTTTAGTCTCTCAGTTGATATAGGCAAATCCTTTGGTGAAGTGAAGGAGAAATCACCATTAAGTGACCGGAGAGGGAAATTGCATTTCGTAGATGCTAATGCTTGTAACCAAGCTGCTCTATCACTTATAGAATCAGTCCTCAAATGAAGAGTCTTAGTCGCTGTGAATATATAGAACTTTCTATCATCAGACTTGCTTTCTCTAAAAGAAGAAACCTGCTGGAGATTAACATAGAAAGGTACACATCTGATTACAAGCTCAAGTAAACATAATAAAAAGGTTTAGGCCACAAATTTGTCAACATATGAAAAGAAAACACAAAATAAATTAGTTTTATCCTATATAAAGCAGGAGAGGGACCCTGGAGTTTCAAAAAAAAAAAAAATATATGCTGAACTTAGACAAAAGTTTGAAGTTGCAGATTTGGAACTAGGAACAAATCAAGCTGGGCCCATGAAGATATTACTTTAGATCTATATACAGGTTGAGAAAGACAAAAGTTTATTATCTGTAAGCAACTATAAAATAAACTAAAAAATCCTAATGCTTATGTCTGGATTAGTTTTGGGGTATTTTGATTAAGCAAAAAATAAAAGAGCTTGTAAAAATGTTGAGAACAGGCCATCTTTTTCTCATTGTCAAACAACAAGCATGTTAAAACAGATCGTTTTTATAATTGGGAAGACCCCACCCTGCATTATCTTTAACCAACTAATTTAATAACCAAACATGTCTAAAATCTACGGAAGAAACTATACATGAAACTAATTGACCATATAGCAGAATAATACTATACACATAAGCCCATCCAGTGAAATAGTTAACCTTTCTTAGTCAAGGAGAATTCGAAAGTAAAAGATGGAAGTATCGTTGCCAACAAAACAAATCAAATCAAAGCACATGCAAGGCAAAGAAATCAAAGAACAAATTGTGAAAAGTGTCCAAAAATCAATAAACATTTAAACTATGCAACTGATAAAAAGTTCATTGTTCTGGTAATTACAATTGACATATATGATCCTTGTTTTTTCCTCCAAAAGAAAATAAAAAAGACAAAAGAACTAAAGAGAATCCAAAACTTTATTGACGGATGGCAAATGGGTTAACTTTGAAACCAATAGGAACAAGAAGTTACAAAACTGAACCTAACACAAACAAACACCAAGAAGAAACCAAATTGAAAAAAAAACCACTGAAGAAAACCCTAAAGCTACAAACCACCAGATTGTAGCAACCAACAAAAGTGTTTTTTTTTTCCAAGGACCAACAAACAAAAGTGTTTGAATTTTTGAAAACCAAACAAGCACCTGTTGATGTGACCCATTAACAGCAAGTTATAAGCTGGACAAAATAAATACCAGAGACATTAACATTAATACAGAAGAAGCAAGCTCGAAAACTATAAAGACATTGAAGGTAGTGATGATAGACCATATAGGACGATTGTAAGAAGAAAATATAAATCACATTTAGGGTTTCTCAATCCCTCAAAGAACACAGCGAACAATTCTATTAGCCTCTGGTTATTTCCTCTAACTATGAGTGATGAAAAAGGCTTCGCCTTTCCCCAGAAAATCACAATCTGATTTGATGTAAACAAACACTTTAATAAATCGAACAAAGAACATAAATGCATAAGAAATTACCAAAATTGATTGAAAATCAAGAATCAAATCAAGAACCAAAAACACTTTAATGATGAATAAAGAACATAAATGAATTTTTTTTTTTGAACAAAAATGAATAATAATAATATAAATCACCAAAAATGATTAAAAAACAAGAACCTTGAGATGAACAATGCCGACGGTTTTCTGTTGTTTCCGGCGACCACTACAACTATCCATCCTGGAGAGAGGAGCGGCGGAGATATCTCCGATCATTCTCACATCTTCCGAAGGGCAGAGAAGATTCAGATTCTCCGGTCGCCGGATCTTGGAGTAAGACAAGACTCCGTTGCGGAGGAGGAACCATCTAGATCTCCATCCTCTGCCGAAGTTTGTCCACTTGTGTAAGACCCCAGCCACCGACTCCGATCCGACCGATGTCACTTTTCTCCGGTCGGACCCACCGGTTAACGACGTCGCCGGTAGACTCCTACATCTGGTCAAATTCGTCAGCTTTTTATCATCAATACCGTGTGGACTCTCTAAAGTGATGCAGCAGAGAGGATGCAACTCCTTCACCCGCATTGTTTTTTTTTTCTCTCAGCGATAAAGGTTTAAACTTTTAATCTCCGCTCCGAAGCACATTCATCATGGTGGTTAGATCGAGCATGCAGGTTTGAAGAAGAAGACAGACGAAGAATAAAGAACCTGAAGCTCTGAAACTGAGATTTCTCAGACAAGAGAATCAGAGAGAGAGAGAAAGAGTTGTTGCTTTAACGCATTTATAAAGGCTTTATGTAAAAGATATATATATAAGTCTCTGTGTATATCATATGTGTATGTATGATGGTGATGAATCAGAGAAAGAGGTTGGGACTTGGGAGCGAAGTTGGACAATTTAAGACAAATGGTTTTAGATTGCGATTTCGAAATTTTATGGAGGGTATAAAAGGAAAGTAAATATTTGATTAGTTTCTAGTCCTTAATTAGATCCCTCTTACAAAAGGTCCACAACATTAATCACTTAAGTTTGATTTTCAAACAGTCAAGCTCACTGACAGTTACACTCTGATTTCATTCAGCTTTTATCTTATTTTTTTTAAAACAGTATATTCCTGGTATTTTCTTCTTTGATTACTCAACTGAGTTTTAATAATTTCAACAAAAATAAAATATTAAGTCTTAAGTATCATTGAGGACAAACATGAGAATTTATGGCCATGGTTAAATCTGTTCTTATAAATCAAATATAAATGTGTGAATAATATTAATCATCAAATTATTTAACATATTTTTGAAAATAACTTTATAGGCTTTAATAAAATATTTATAGTTTACATTGTGTATGTGAAAGGAATAATAATATACATTAATATCACTTTTTAAATAAATTTTAGTTTTATTATTAAAATTGATTAGAGAATCTTTCAGGTAAAGAATAATAGAAAAATTGTTTTGAGAATAATAGTAAATTTAATTAAAAATAATCTAAGAAAATAAATGATTTATAGTTAATTAATTAATAATTATTAAATATAGTGGCATAAGTTATAGTTATTAAAGTGAAAATTACTATTTTCGTAAGATGTTCAATTTTAATATAGATGCCACTAGTTTGTTGATAGATGAAAATAAATAAATTAATAGTAGTAGTGTATATTATATTTTATGTCTTCTAAATTATTAAGATGAAAGCTTACTAAGTTGTGTTTCTTTTTTTTTTTTACATCAAACGGCTGCTCTATTACTCAAACGACTTGAGGTGGTCTGGTTAACCAGACCGGAACAGAACAACCAACGTACACAAGCTTATGATAAAAGGACCTAGCTAACTTAGCTACAGAATCAGAAGCGCCATTCTGAAGTCTAGGGACATAAGAGATCTTGAAGTCTGGAAAGCAGATCTTCAGCGTCATCAATTTTTCCAACTCTGTAGAGAAGGTAGGCCATGCCTGAGGATTCCTAAGCATTTCGATCATCTCCTTACAATCAGTTCCAAAGCTCTGACATGGCGAATGTTGAAGCATGTTCTCCATTGCCCACCGCAGTGCTTCCAACTCTGAATGCAACGCCGATTCCACGCGATCAAAATTACGCACCCCTAGTAGCTGACTATTTCCAGAAGTATCATTCAAAACCCACCCACATCCACTGAAGGAGTCCGTTGAAGTCCAAAATCCATCCACCATGCAGATGTTTCCCAAGCTTAAGGCCTGGTCTTCACCTATTCCATCCCCAAGAGGAGACGGTACTTCCTGCTCATTTGCTTGGAACCATGCTTGGCATTCACTCTCTGCGTATCGCGCCACTTCCAATGGATCCCTATCAATGCCTCGGAATAACTTATCATTCCTAGCCTTCCAAATGTACCAGATTAGCCAAGGATAAGGATCCCTATCCAATTCCGGTTCCATTATTGCATTCTTCCTCCAGAACAGATAATCCATATTCGCGTATGTGCTTTGAACTGGGAACATAGCTGGATTGGTAGGCGTAGATGATAGCGCCCAGACTTGTAGAGCAGGTGGACATTCGAATATTGCATGTGTGATCGTCTCCTCTGGCTCCCCACATCGAGGACAGTGATTGTCACATCTCATATGTCGGTAGTTTAAAATGCTTGTGACAGCTACATGTCCTGTGATCACCTGCCACATAAGATGGCAAATCTTTTGGGGAGCCCTGACCTTCCACGCATGTGTTTGGAGCTTTGTGATACTAGGCTCACATACTTCCGTTTCATCTTCCTTCCTCAAGATATTTCGTGCTACCCAATATCCAGATTTAAAGATATATTGTCCAGTCTTTGTATAGCTCCAGCAGTACGTATCCCGTCGATGTGTGGAACTAATAGCCATGCTCTTGATGAGTGGAATGTCATCCGCATTAATGTAATCCTGAAGTCGTCTTTCATCCCAAGTCTTCGTTGTTTGGTTAATCAAATCACTCACACGCATATTCGGATGCAGAACCGGTGCCAAAGGGATTGCTGGTCTCGCAGGTATAGTAGGAGTCCAAGGATCCTCCCAAACTTTAACCTCATACCCCGAATGAATTTTTTGTCTAATTCCTAATAGTATCAATTCTCTTCCAGCCGATATGCTTGTCCACACATATGAAGGACTGCTAGTATTGGTTTGACACATAGGCGTACTCAATCTGTAATACCAATCTCTCAATACGCGAGCAACCAGAGAGTCCGAGTTTTGCACCAGTCGCCATAATTGTTTTGCCAGTAGCGCCAGGTTAAACTCATGAATCATCCTAAAACCAATACCGCCTTCATCTCTGGGTAAGCATAATTTGTCCCATGTTGACTAGTGAATACCCCTTTTTGGCAGATTTGAGCTCCACCAGAATTGTGCAATGGCACTAGCTAGATTCTCACAAATCTCCAATGGGAGTAGGAAACAAGACATTACATACGTCGGAAGGGCAGGCAGGATTGATTTTATCATAACTTCTTTCCCGCCTTTAAAAAGCCATCTCCCAGTCCATCCATTCACTCTATTTCTAAGCTTGTCCTTAAGGAAAGCAAAAAGCTTACATTTGGATCCACTGATATTCTCTGGTATACCCAGATATGACTCCATTCCTCCTTCATTTTGGATCTCAAGTGTGTCTTTGATCTCTTGTCTCACCTCATGTCTGATTCTTTTACCAAAGAGTAAAGAAGACTTCTCAAAATTAATGCATTATCCTGAAGCTTGTCCATACATCGTGACCACTTTATAAGAGATCGTTAATGCTTGGTATCAGGTTTTGCTATGTTTTTCGTCATGGTCTGATTTATACTCTTTTAAATACTTACGAGATATGTCAATTTTTTTTTGTGTGGAAAATGTAATCTAATGATTTGAGTATATCAATGAAACCATTTAAAAACATTCAAAACTAGGGACGAGACTAAGGTGATGATTGTTTGGATGGTTTTTAAATTTTAGTTTTTGGTTTTTGATTTTTAGTTTTAGTTTTTGGTTTTTGGTTTTTGATTTTTGATTTTTGGTTTTTGATTTTCAATAGTTTTTAGTTTTTGAAAAAACACGAATGGCAGATTTTAGTTTTTAGTTTTTGTTTTTTAATTTAATAAAATCTTTTATTTAACTGTTTAATCTTGATTATACTTTCTTTTTAGATTTCATAATTGAATGATGATTTTCAGCTTTATTTTTGATATATTTGATTTATCTCTTGTTTGAAGTTGAAATATAAATTAATAACAAAAATCCAAATTTAGTTAAAGAAAAAGTCTATTTCTGAATTTATTATTTTTTCTTGAGGATTTTTGTTTTTCTAAAATTTGATTACTTATTTATTTTATTTTTATGTTATTTTTAAATTTTAACATGTGACTTATTTTTTTTCTTAAAAAAACATACACTTACTAAAAGAATATATCACAATTTTTAAATCAAATGATACCAGTAGATTATTAACAAAACATGAAAATTTTAGATAAAATTAAATTTCAATAATTAATTTAATATTCACGAAAAAATTTAAAGGAATGTTTTTAATATATATTTTTTGTATTTTATATGTTTAAAAACTTTTTTTACTAAAACTTATTTGCTTATAGTAGTTAGCACTTTATTTATTTTTCCTATGTTAATGAGTAAATGTAACAAATAATTTTTGAACTTCTTTTAGTTAACTTGTACGAGAACTTTGTTCTTCTATGTAAATTTTCTTTTGTTAAATGTTGATTAAGGAATAAAATTATTTTTTAAAAAATTTAAAAGATGAAAAACTAACGTGATGTTGTAGGAACTTGAAAAAAATGGTTCTGGTTTTTTTTTGTGTGGAAAATAACTGTTCTTGTTTCAAAAACCAGTTTCCCTAGATTATAGAAAATCTATTTCTTCAAAAACTTGATTGGCTAAAAATGGTTTTTTCAAAAAAAAAAAAAACTAAAAACTACTACACAATCGGCAAATAATTATCCCTCGGAAGAACCTTTGAATTCACCATGCATCTTATTACGAATCAAATTGTCATCTAAATTAGTAATTAAAAATATTAACTTTTTAAACAAAATCTAAAATAGTAGAAAAGAAATAATAACGTCAATTTAAATGACACTAACATCGCTAACTAAACCTTAAACTTTAAATTCTAAACTCTAAATCCTAAAGCTTAAATTTAAAACCAAAATCTAAACCCTAAATTCTAAACTCTAAATCTTAAACCCATATTCTATACCTCAAACTCAAACCTTAAATCCTAAACTCAAACTGTGAACCAAAGTTCTAGATCCTAAACCCAAACCTAAACTCTAAACATAAACCTTTAACTTTAAAGGAACAACATCAACATTAACCCAAATCTTTAGAGTATAGGATTTGTGTTTATGGTTTACGATTTGAGTTTAGGGTTCAGGATTTGAGTTTAGAGTATAAAATTTGAGTTTAAAATCTAGGGTTTGGGTTTAGGATTTAGGGTTTGAGTTTAGGATTTATGATTTATCGATTGGGTTTAGAATTAGGTTTTAGAGTTTAGAATTTAGGGTTTAGAGTTTGGTTTTAGATTTGAATTTTAGGGTTTAGAATCTAGAATTAAAATTTAGGGTTTTGTTAGTGGCGTTTGCGTGTTAAAATTAACGTTATTATCATTACTATTATATTAGTTTTTTCTTTAAATAATATTTTTTATTATTAATTTAAGTGATAATTTGATTGGTGATAAGACATGTAGTGAATTTAAAAGTTCATCCTAGGAGTAAACCTAAGTTTTGTTCTTTTTAATAATGTCTCTGTTAATAGTTCAAATTTATAAATGTATTTAACATCGTTTAATATCGTTGCAAAGATAATTATTTCTAAATCCGCACTATTCAAAACAATGTTCATGGCTATCAAGTTTATGTCTTTTTATATATCAGATATCGTTTAAAATGTAGGTATAATCTTTAGTCAATGTAATATATTTTTCTCATCATTCAAAAGAAAAGGATATCCATAGAATTCAAAAGCTTGTAGATTAACAAAAAATGTTGAGTTGATATATGAAAATACAAGTATAGTATATGTCAGATGTTTATATAATAGGGACACAGCTTAGTGTTTATTATCTCATTTATTACAAAGTAGCATCGACCGTGGGATGTATGAGGCAGTGGACCGGCGTGGCGTAGAGGACCCGATACTGGCTTGTTGTCCAACTGTCTCACATGTTTTTTTTTTCACTTTCTCGTTTTCTTTGGTAACTACTCCCTCTATTTAAAAATAAGGGCAATTTGCCCAATATTCATAGCAACCAAGAAAATATAGTATATAACCATAGCAAATTGATTTGACAATTTGCATCGATTATGGACGCTTTTATCCTTGCATGCGCATAGACGTCGACAAGAGGCGAGTGAACCATATATAAAACATACTAAACTATAGAACTGTGTACATAATATAATCCTTCAAGTATTCAAAATTCAAATCGATAGATAATCAACAAGGAGGCCAACACGTTTTTCACATCTAGTACCACCATAAACTTAAATATTTAACTTGTTTTGAAATGCATCATATACACATATAAGGAACTATAGATGACGTAAATAAAAACATTAAAAAGAGTTTCCCTTATAAGCACAACTTATAACTGAAGCTAAAATAGAAGGACAAATAATTAAATAAAAACAAAAATCACTACCAGCATACAAACTTAGCTGTTGTATATTGTTGTACTTTAACCGGGTATGTCTCAGAAGAATGAGATGAGAACTAAGATACAAAATTGTTAACTTACTTATATCTAAATCTTAATGTCAATGTGAAAATTTAGAATTATGGTTTAGGATATAAAATGAAACGTTCAAAACACCAATTCTAAGAAACTATACTAGTGTATATATAATATAGAATGATTAGCTGAGAAACAAATGTGATGTCCGCTAAGGTACATATGGTTCTAATTTCATATGTATTGCAAAATAAGGGATCACAAATGGAAGCTAAACCCTAAACTTTACCTAAACCATAAACCATAAACCCTAACCCCTACACATTAAACCCCTAAACCCTAACCCATAAACTGGACATTTCACTCCTTTGTAGCGCGTAGGTGTGTATAACAAACACTGCAACTTCATACTATTCTACATATATTGACTATATAGTATAGTATGTGGAGGGAGGGAGGGAGGGAGGGAGATCTACTTCAGCATGTAATCTAATAGTATACTAGAGAGAGAACGAGACCTACTCTGTAGAATTACTAGACATATCTATACTATATTCATTATCCAATAGTATAGTCATCGTTGAATATAGTACCCGATTAACTATTACCAACCTACTTCAGTTGCAAGTTTAGAAGAACACACAAGGATTTGAGTGACCCCAATTTTCTATAATATAAACAATTTTCTATAGCCTACTAAATATCCTTTTCAAATCGAAGCCGGGAACACACAAAACGTAGATCCATCTAATAACACAAATCTCCAACATTCTATAGTATAAACACATATATATTGACAACGCATTATCTTCTATACATATCTATACATATTAACACGTCTATTAACATATATACACATCCTTACATGCTACCACATCTATACTATCCTAGTTTTCTTATAGTTTTTCTATGTTATACATATTATCTATTTTCCACGCGCAACTGGAGGGCAGTATAGGGAAAAAAAGAAAAAGGCAACCGTAACCTAACTAAAGCCTTAATATGGTTAGATAATGTTTTTGTTGAGTTACTATGAATATTGGGCCAAATTTCTCTTAAAAATAATACATGTTTTAAATTTTTCACATTTATTAAAAAATATATTAAAACTTAGTTATTAATATAACTAGATAATTTCTCTGTGCTACGCGCAGATAATATATTTAAATTTGTTACATTTATCATTTTTATTTGTATGTGAATTTTTGTATATAAAATTATATTTAACTACTTTTTAAATTTGATTTTATTTTAGTTTTTAGATTGAAGTAAGTATTTGAATATAATTCATTAGTGCTAATGAATAATTTAGTTATATAAGTATCTTCAATATACCATGAAATTTATACTATTGTCAAATATATTTCTATTATATGTAACACAATTAACTAATAGTATATGCAGAATTAAGTTTGAGATTTTAGAGTTATGTTAAAAAAAAATAATTATGTATAGAATATAAATAATCTTACTTTAAAAGATCGGAATCTCATCTCGAATAAATTCCTCAAAAGAAAAGTACTCCAATAACTTATTTAAAATATGAAACCTCATTTCCAAAAAAAATCATATTTAAGAAAATTTTTTACGTGTAATAGTTGAAAACTAACAATTGAATATCGATCTAAAATATTATTATAATATATCTAACGGTAAAATATTAATTGTTATAAACAGATTTTGAATTTTGTAATATTACATGAATTAGAAGTCGTTAAAATCTAAAATCTATTTTATTAACATAATATATTTATATACATTTATTATTTTGAAGTCACAGAATATTTCTTTAGGTTTAGTTGTATATTAATTTGTTAATAATTTAGTTTCTTTTTAAGTAAAATTATCAAGAATATAATATATTTAAATCACAAAGGTGGATAGTCTTGTACGTGATGCTTGGAATAATCATCATATGTCGTACACATGGATAAAAAATTCTCAATTTGGTTACATAATGTTAATATATGTTTTATGATTAAAAAATAAATTTATATCTAACTACATTTATATTTTTTTCTCAAATTAATGAAGTTAAAACATTGAAAGAATAATATAAAAATGTAAAATTTATTTTTTAAAATAAAATTATTTTCTAATTTAAGAATTTATATTTGTGCATGGTGCAGGAAACCTCGTAGTTGTTTTAATAAATGTGTTGTCATTTCATTTTTATTACTATTAACATGATTTTTAGTGATCCGTGATAATGTACTTTTAACATTATGTACATAATGAAGTGCAAGGTTTGAATCAACTCTCGACTCAAAAATAGAGAACTTCTAACGGTATAAAGTGATGGCACATATGTAAATATGTAGACTTTAATTCGGGTTATATCGGGTATCCGATTTGGCTCGGGTAAAAACCCAGATCCGACTCGTTATCCATGATTTTTTATATTATTATCCATTGGTTAAATTGGTTATACAAATTTAACTGCAACTATTTTTTATCATGGTAATTTTGACAACAATAAAATCAAATTAACGCAATGCTTTTGAATCTTCTTCCCATTATTAGGATTAATTATTTTGCCTTATGACAAAAATCTTGTATACCTGATGTGACACTGAACTGGCAATTAAAATGCTTATATGAGATTACTGATTAGATAGATGTTTAGACCAAACTTTCAAGAAATCAGTATAAGAAAAAACGTTTGGTTTAATCTGATTTGCCGATTAGGAGACCTAGGTCTTTCACATAAGCATACATGCAACCGATTATACATACGGAAGTAACATTCTTTATTCATGCCTTTTTTAACTTTTTCGAGCTCTCTTCTTAATAATATCAAATACATAAATGGAATTTCCTGAAAGCTCCATACTTAGTCTTCCTCTTCCATAGTCTGCCTCTTTAACGATATTTTGCGAAAGTAATCAACCTGAAAATCGAAACAAAACCATGCGTAATCGAGATGAGATATCAAGAAAGCACACATGAAGCTTAAGAAAATTTTGCAGCACCATTCTACCATCCATCCTCATCTCACTGCTTTCACAAGTGTCGGCAAAAATAGAATAAAGAAGAGGGAAAATGAGTGAAGACTTGTTTAAAGCAGTGTTGAATATTAACTCCTCGAAGCTGATAGCAATTCTCCTGAGCTCCTCAACTCCTTTTTGTCCTGAGTACTGAAGATATTTCTTCAGAATTTCCATTCTACGTAAATGACGAATAAAAAGGTATTATTCATAAGGTAAAGGCACTATGACAAAACGTTATAACTTTCTTTTTCTAGAGATACCAAAAAAAAAATAACGAACTTACAGCTGGTTGACCATCTTCTGACGTGAATTAGGTGGCAGTTGAATTCTCCAGTCACCTGAGTTTATTGCAGGTTCCTCTTTCAGGAGAGAAGGCTCTGCATTGTCCTTGATCAAATGATTCCCTGTGGAATGTTATACACAAAGCATCAATCAAGGGTAGATCATATAGCTTCACAAGAAAACAAAACAAAATGAATTGAAAGAGAATTATTAATTGTACCATAGTTCTGTCAATGCAATCTAGTCGGTGATGGAGATTGTATTCTTCAAGTTCTGTAAATAAAATTATTAGAGAGGAGCTGGGAAAAAATTCAACAGTCATATGAAAGGCTTCGAAATGAAACTAAGATCAGATGAAAACCACATCCTGGCCGTTATCTAGAGTAGCTCGATGAGCAAGTGCTTATCTACAAAACAAAGAGATCGATCAACATGTGGTATCTACAAAACAGAGTTTCCATGAAATTCCCAAATTCGTTTTCAATGGTCAAACAAACCTGAGAAAGAATATACATACCGAATAGCCACATATCAGTGAAATTCAAAATCAGATTACAGTAAGCAACTAAACATTAAAAATGATTTTTTCTACATCTCCAGCCATTGGAAAGCATCCCCAAATGGATCCGAGATGGTGTGGGGACTTGACGGAAAACCTTGAGCGCCTTCCAAATATGATTGTAAGCTTACGTTACTTGGATCGATGTCAAGCCCCTTCATATAAACGGTGACGACATTCAGTCGCTGATTCAATTCGATGCTCTGTTGTAACAAGTTTTGTAAACTGAAAGAGAAGGAAAAATAGAGAAGAAGAAGTGAAACAGCTAAGAAGAAAGGAGAAAGTACATGACCTAATTTAAAGCACTCAACACGATATGGGTCTTGAACAACGAAAACCCAAAAAATGAAAACACATGATGATGTGGCGAAACGTTATAATTCTATTGGTCAAATATTTTGCCTATGTGGATAGGTTCACATGGCTTCATATTCAACTTTTAATATTGTTAGATTTTTTTTTTGTAATTTTATATATCCCATATTTTTAAACTAGTAAGATTTCAAGAAATGCAATTAATGTTTTTGAAATTCACAATTTTCGTTATTAGTTGATAAAAAATGCATTGAAAATCTAAAAAAATACATTTTGTGAGACAAATTTTTTTTTCTAGAATATATATCTTTTTGAAAAGAGGGAGTAATAAAATTAGATACAATTTATTTTTCAAAAAATTAGGAACCATTATAAATAATATATTTATGATCTTATACAGCATTACCCTTCAGCTCCGACGTCCGGCGAGCGCATGAACGCGATAACCGGCGTCAGAGGTCCCCCTCTCTCCCTTGCTCTTGTTTTCCTGTTGTTTGTCTCGGACTTCTTTGTTTCTCAGTTGATATATCTCGGATCTGAGGTTGAGTTTCTAGCCGACATCCTCACTGTTCATGAAGTGGTGTCAACGGCGACGTCTCTGCTTCTCTTGGATCTTCAGTGAGGCTGCGGAGGCGGTAGTCTAGGGAGTGGTCAGCTTTTGGATCTATGGAACAGATCGATCTTCATCTTAGATCTGGTTCGGAGTTTCGTAAGGATGGAGCTTTGCGGTGGTTTTAGGACATAGCTCTTGTGTCCTAATCATTTTGGTTCGTCTAGTATGGATGAATTGAGTGTGGGGTTATGCTTATGGATTGGTTCTTGTATCAATAATGTAGAGGGTTTCTGTTTTGGTTTGTGACAAGAGTGTCATCCCCGGTTCTCTTTTGAAGATCGAAATGGTTTAATTGTGTGACGATATAGCTGGAGCTGATGGAAGTACCGGCTTAAGGTTGTGTGAGCTTTGAGGCCTCTGCTAAATTGGTTCTTTGGTTCTTAGGATAGGAAAGTAACTTCAAGTCAACAAAAAAGAGTTTTCGCTTGTTTATATTCTTACTTAGAAGATCAGCGCGCTCTTCCCATGTGGTTGATGGTCGCTCTCGTTCGGACCTCTACTTCAGTTCTCTAATATGAGTTTCTAAGCTTAAGTTTTAGTAACAACCCTTATGTTTTATTCATGCCTTATGATTTCATTTGGCTTCGGAAGGATTGTAATCCTTGCCGACTTATGGCTCTGGAAGAATGTGTATCTTGCTAGTTTGTGTTTTTCATGTAGTACTTCAGTTCAAGTTAAATGAATTTCATAGATGACAAAAAAAAACTTATACAGCATTACATAAATACTCCCTCCGTATACAAATAATTGATGTTTTTGTTTTTTCACTTGTACACAAAACATTAATATTTTAGTTTCAAATAATGCATTTTACTTTAAAACTAAAGCACAAATCAGAATCTGAAAATATGAATGGTTGACATTTATTGGAAAGCTAATAAAATTAATAAATTAAAATGTGTATTTTTTTATTTATGTGTGTGTAAATTCTGAAACATCAATCTTTTAAATTCAGAGGTAATATAAGTGAGACACCATTGTAAATAAAGTATTTATTATCTCACACTAGGCTTGGGTGTTTGGGGTCCCCGTAGATTCGGTTCGGTTAATTCAAATTTTTGGATTTTCGATAGTATGATCACAAGTCCCATTCGGGGTTACAAATTATCGAATCAGGTTTAGTTTGGTTACTCCTGAGTTCAGCTCGGATCAGATTATATATATATATAAAATTTTCTTAAAATATATTTGTAAGCTAAAAAATTGACAAAAAATACTTAAAATATATAACTATTCACAAATCTAATTAAAAACAAGTTAAATTACCTAAACTAACTAAAATTTATTCAAAATAAATTATAAAAAATCTTTAAAATACTCTAAAACATCTGAATTACCTTAACATATATAAAATAGTAACATATTTCACTAATTTTGGATATAGTCGGATCCAAGTTTGGATTTCAGTTCAATTCGGGTATATGCTTACGCTAAAATATCAAATTTTCAGGTTGTGTAAGAATATTTTTGTATAATGGTTTAATTTAGTTTTGGCTTTTTCTTTATTCGGATTAAGGTACAAAGTTCTATTTAAGATAAAAATGCTCAGGCCTATCTCACATAACAGTAAAGGAGATTTTATGAATTCTTTTGTTTTTTTCTCTCAATCACATGTTGTATGGGGGATATGCAGTTTTTTAACATCGTGGGAGTAAGACAACAACACTCTAACACAAAATACTTATATATATATATATATATATATACATAAGTTATGGTCTCCTATCTTTATAAATTCGTAGTGTTAAAGAATACTATCAATATTCATTACTTTTGTTAACAATTGCATCAGTTTAAATCATTCTTAAATTGATGCAATAAAAGAAAATAATATATCTAAAATATAATATTAAATATTATTTTATTTTAATTTTTCATCGAAAATTTTAGTAACAAAAATTAATAAAATTCTTGCCATTTTCCATAATTGTAGGTATCTATTCATGTATTGTATGTTCTGAGAGAACTTACCTTGCTAACATATTTTAATTAAGAATCTATCTTAAAAATTTGAAATGAAGAATTGTGCTCCAGAACATATCAAATTATGAGTACATGATCTTTGTGAATAAAATAATTATGAATTAATTTAGTAATTAATTATTAAAAGAATATATAGATAGACGTAAACTCTATGTGATTGATTCTGTGAGGCTCGAGTTTCCACTCACCACGCTTTCTTGTTTTACTACTCGCTTAACCCCGTGTCTATCAGACGCCAAGGTAATTTGTTTTTGTTAACCTGATTAACTTAACCAAGGCCATGGATAACACATTATTAAAACAAATGTATAAATTAGATGATGGTTACAATATTATTATCATTTCTAGCTTATCAAATTAAAACGTTTTCCTTCTCACAATCATCTACCGTAAAAATATCAATCTATAGTTCAGTGCTTAAATTTATCATCCAGATAATTGTCATTGTTTTCAATAAAGGGGTTTTGACAACTACTGACTGATCGTAAGTTATCCTTGAGTGCATAACCATAATGTTAACCAAAAAAAATAGACGTTTGCGTTAGGAAAAACACATGATTGGTCATTTGGTAAAGGTCTTTAGGGCGAGTGTATAGAACGGCTCACCGGTATTTAAATTTGTACTGTAAGATGTTAATAAAAAAGGTTAATAAATATCTTATAAGATTTTAAAAATTTTTGCTTACAAATCTTATATATTAAACAAAGAACCAAAATTTTCATCCTCCTACCAAATCAAGATGGAATCACGTCGACCCACTAACTCCCAAAAATGACCAATGATAATGGGTACACATCGTGTCATTGTGTTTGTGAGACCAAAATCATCTTTAGATAGAAAGCCATATGTCCCTGATAAGTGGTAATGTTCCCAAATAGCCTGTGCGCGCTATATTATTAAGATAGTCCAATCACATGTCTAATCTATTTAAATTATTAGTATCGGCTATAAGGAAGGAAGAGTTCTCTTTTCACATGTCTAATATATATATATATATCATTTGTTAAAACCATGAAATAATAAATTTATGTAGTTTTCTAAAATTAATTCAATAAAAATTGTGTAGTTTAAAATTGTTCATTTAAATTCGTATTCTTTTTATACTGGCGTTGTTAATCTTTATGAGTTTAACCAAAAAAAAACTGATGATTTTGGGTGTATTTGGGTTGCATAAATAGAGTATATCCAAAACAAAACCAACAAAAATACTATATCATTTGGGTATAAGTCGTTTGTAGAATATTAACCTGATTTTCCATAATTTGGTAAATATAGGTTCGCCAACTAATAAACATTTGCCATTGGTATACTTTTTTTTTTGAAATAACCATTGGTATTACTATTAGTATATAAACTTTGATGGTATCTAATTTGAGAGAGAGGAAAAGAGAGGGTGTATTCAATTAGAAGTTTTAGGTGATTTGTTTTAAAATAACAAATCTACTGTTATTCAAACATAAATTTTTAAAAATTATTTAAAATCCAGTGTTATTGAATTTGATATTTTATAAAATATTTCCACTGTTATTAAAAATATTTTAACTTTTGCAGTTTTAAAATTTTTGAATGATTTTAGAATGTTTGTGTGGAGTTTCTTAGTTAATAAAATTAAAATCCAAATCTTATGGTTATAGGTGATATTCTAAATTGATTTAACAAAATAACTTAAATCTCTACAACTTATTAAAATCTTCTAAAATTTCATTAAAAAGCAAATCACCTCAAATTTTGGATTAAATACATCCTCCAGAAATTCTTAAATGGGTGGTCTCTTTGGGGAATGTATTCAATCTAAAATTTGAGGTGATTTGATTTTTTAATGAGGTTTTAGATAATTTTAATAAGTTGCAGAGATTTAAGTGATTTGTGTAAAACCATTCTAGAATATCACCTAAAATCATGGGATTTGGGTTTTAATTTTGTAATTAAGAAACTCCACTCAAACACTCTAAAATCACTTGAAAACTCTACAACTTGAAATATTTTCAATAACAGTAGATTTTAAAATACTTTATAAAATGTCAAATTTAATAACACTGAATTTTAAATGAATTTTTTT